GGAAGGATCGCCGGAGCCCAGCAGGTGGAGGCTGCAGTGGCCGGGAGCGGCCACTGCACTCCAGTCTGGGTGACACAGTGAGACTCCAACTCAAAAAAAATAAAAATATAAATAAATAAATAAATAAATCTTTTGTAATATAATTTCTCAGGGACATTGTTATTTTTCTTCTTTAGGTCATTGCTAGAATCGTGGATGGAAGCAGATTCAATGAGTTCAAAGCCTTATATGGAGACACATTAGTTACAGGTATAAAGGTGAAGAATTGAAAATATGAACATTTTTCTAATGCTTTGAAAATAAGCAATCTCATCTCAAGACTTTGATACACTTGGCATGAGCTTTGCTATTAGAGTGCTGCAAACATATGAGTCAGTTTTCAAAAGGAGCTGTTTTATAAAGATCATTTGTAGCTGAATGACTTCACAGATTCCAAGAGTTTAAAATGATAATGACTAGGCTGGGTGCGGTGGCTCACACCTGTAATCCCAGTACTTTGGGAGGCGAAGGTGAGAGGGTTGACTGAGCCCAGGGGTTCATGATCAGCTTGGGGAATATGGCGAGCCCTTGTCTCTACAAAAAATCCAGCAAATTAGCCAGGTGTGGTGGCACATGACTGTAGTTCCAGCTACTTGGAAGGCTGAGGCAGAAGGATTGCCTGAGCCTAGCGGGCTGAGGCTGTGGTGGCTGTGAGCATGCCACTGCACTCCAGCCTAGGCACCAGAGTGAGACTCCTATACACACACACACACAACTGATGACGACTGGATGCTGTAGTGTGGCTCCTCTCTGTGACTTTGTGGCTGATAGCCGTATAAAAAGGCTCTTAAAGGAAAATTGGCAGAAAATACTTGTAGTTCTTTTTGTTTCTTTGGGTAAGTGTACTTATGTAGAAAACTTCATCATTGCCTCGTTAGTATGCTATTCAACCAGGAAGTTTTATGTGATATTTAGCTTCCCAGAAGGATGTAGAATAAATGAAACGTTCTGAGCCTCTGTAGGTCTTATGCCGATACATGCAGATACCAGAGTGAAGACTCAGGACAGTACACCATGTCTGGAAAAACAAAATATGGATGTTTATAAAAATTACTTTTGTCATCTAAAATGTTAAACTTTTAGGCCTTTGAGGAAAAGTATTTAACAGATGTTAGAATCATAATAATCTGTTTAGGACAAATGGCAGAACAAATTTTTAAAATTTTCCTTGGTCTTAAAAAGCTTGAAAATATAGTAATTAGTCAAAGATAACATATCAGAGCACAAAAAAAACTTGCTGCAAAAATCCAAGTTGCAAATATGCATTGAGGCTTCAGGATAAATCGTACCACATTCTCCTAGTTTGATTTGTGAGCAAGAGAAAGCGTCACACTGAGGGTGGAATTTATGTTTTTGTAGTGAGGTATTTAAGTGATTAAGAGCTTTTTGTCTGATATATAGACAGGATTTGTCACCAAATAGTTCAGGATATAACCCTCATTGTGTAACAGTTTAAAGCCAGACAAAGCTGTTTCTGCTAAAGCTGTATGGGCTGTCTTTGTCATCTTCTTTTATGGCTTTGTCCCTTACTTGCTAAAAGACTGTGGCACTCTTGTCCCCTCGAATACCAGGGGAATGCCAGGGACACATCTGGTTTCCTCCTTCTCTCCTTGACTGCACTGGAGTTCACTCGAGTTGGGGCAGGGGAAGAGTGTGAGAAGGACGGAGGGGAATGTGAGGGCCGGCGGGGCGGGAGAATGGGAGGGCGGGAGGCATAAAGCGTGAGGAGGTGAGAAGCGAGAGGGACAGACTGTTCGGGGGCTCTGGTGTCCCTGGAAGTTCTTAAGGGCTTCCTCCGGCCTCAGCGCTTGCCGTATGGAGGCCCGAGAGCTTTCGGGGCATTTCGTGTTCCTGACTGAAACTCAGGTTTGGAACAGGCAGTTAGAAAAGGCCTCTCCTGTGGATGTCCCCAGCAGAGGGTGGCATGTGGCCTGCTCAGCACGTCCCGTCTGTGCCCGGAGCCCCGGGCAGGGCTGAGTATGGGCTGGATGTCTACTCAGCTGACAGGGTGTACATTTGCCGGGGTGGCATCTCACTGGGGAGTGATGTGCTGGATTTCCACCTGTGTGGGTTGAGGCAGGACCAGGAGTGGAGTGGAGTGGACCCCTCGTAGTTGCTCTTTAGGTGGCAGTGCCATTTAGGACGTGCTGCCTAGGGTTTTGGCTGGGTTTTTAGGCCTGAAAACAAAGAGAGAGCTAGGTGGTCAACAAATCAACATTACATTTTATCACATTGCATAAACATGGTGATTTAATAAAGTAAGCAATCAGTCAAGACATGGCCACAGTAAAGGAAAACACAAATCTTTAAAAATGTAGTGTTCTGGCTTACCAATATGTTGACACTCTCTCTGTCTGTTAATTTTTCTTCAATGATTTTTGATACCATATTTTTTTCTAATATCTCTAGTGTCTGGGGCATATTAGACACTCAGATAGATTAAATGAATATATGGATTAAATAAGTGGATAACACCCTAAGCCAAGCATTTAACCAAACCAGCCAAAGACAAATGGATGACTACATGTGACATGCAAAAAAACTGGACTCTAGTATTTTAGGAATGCAGACATTGTGACATGAGCTATTTTATACTATAGATAAAATCTCCTTACATTTAAAACTTGGATTAAAAAATGTGTAAAATGCCTCTTTGTTGTGAACTAAAAGCCCTCCATAAAGTAAAAATCTTCTTTGAATTTTCTTTTGAGGATATGCTCGAATATTTGGATACCCAGTAGGTATCATTGGAAACAATGGAGTTCTTTTTTCTGAGTCTGCGAAAAAGGCAAGTACTGTTACAGATGTTTCGAGATTTTCTGTTTTAATATAACATAATTGACTTTGAAGGTCAAGTAATAAATTAAAACTTATTCCACAGAAGTTTTTAAAATGTTTAACCAGATGCCTTAGCAACAGAATGCTGTGTACGTGTGTGTTTGTGCATGTGTGTTAGCATTTGACATCGTTTCTTGGTGGTTTACATGAACATGATGTGATGAACCATCTGGAGCACTATTAGAAAATCAAGTGTACTCATTTTAGGAAAATGCTTATAAGATACTTGAGTTATAATTGCTAGAGAGGGCATGTGCATCTTCTAAGAAAACAGGGAATGCATGTCCTGAAAGTCCTTCTCGAGGTCTCCGTGTGTAGAGCGGTTCCGAGATCCCGTCCAGGTGGTTCTGAGACAGGATCTGCTTGCTGCCTTCTGTCCCATCATTCGGGCAACTTCACTGTGTCTTTGCTTTTTGGGAATGGGAAGATAGTGGGTCTCTTGCTGATGCAGGTGCTGGGCAGGCAAGCTCGTTCCTGTCCTCCCTGGAGAATAATCGGGGGGAGTGTTTTATAAATAAAATCAGTTTCTGTATTTTGCTATTTGTATTGTTCCCTCAACTCAATTGTAAAATGAAAACAAGAAAATAAAAATCACCTATACTGTGATGCCCAAAGTAGCCTTTAGTGACGTTTTATTATTGCTCCTTAGTTTTTTCTTTTAAATAAATTGATATTGCTATATATAGAGAGGTTTTGCTTGTTTTCTTTTAGTAGTATATAGTGAGTCCCAAAATATTAAGTATTCTTGAAATAATGACTTTTAATGAATATATATTACACTTATTTTAATAGAAGAAATGTCAGACAGACCAGACAAACTCTGCCTGGTTTTATTTGTTGACTTGGCACAGATAACCCGGGAGGAGTTATGTTTGGCCTCAGTCTGACATTTCATTTGTTGAAATAAGCCCCAAAGGTCTGTGTGATTTTCTTTTTCTTGTAAGCATAGTCATATTGAGGTTGAGCAATTATTTTGCAGCTTTGTACCTGCCAAGACATTTCCAGCAGAGTCAAAGGGATCTACAAATAGAGTAAAACATAAGGGAAAGGGCTTATACGAATTTTCCCACTCACATAATCTTTAGAAGATAGGGAGGGAATTTTTTTTTTTTTTTTTGGTATTATTAAATAATTTCCTAAGCTCAAGGTTAAAAGGTCTCTAGTACTCATATAATTAAAAATCCCATTTATTTGGGGAGTGTTGGTAAGAAAGATCTATTTTACTATCATCTTGATATGTGAAAGAGTGTCAGATGGTCCTCAAAATGTAATTGTCACCCCTGATGTCCCAGGAGGGTTTACGTTCTGTCTTTTCTAAAGTGGAGAACTAGAGAATTATATAGCAAAGTTCAACAATCCTTGCTGCCACCAGTTCTTTCTTTTCTGTTACTTAAGTTTCTCTTGCTGTTGGGAATGTTGGTAATTGACTTCATCCCTGAAACAGCAGTTATCTTTTTTTTTTTTTTAAGTCAGAGTCTCACTCTGACACCCAGGCTGGAGTGCAGTGGCATGCTCACGACTATCCCAACCTTGACCTGCTGGGCTCAGGCGATCCTTCTGCTTCAGCCTTCCAACTAGTTGGAACTACAGGCATGCACCATCATGCCTGGCTAATTTTTCTTGATTTATTGTAGAGATGAGGTCTTGCTCAGTTGCCCCGGCTGGTCTCGAACCTGTGGGCTCAGACAGTCCTCTTGCTTCGGCCTCCCAAAGTGCTGGGATTATTAGGCGTGAGCCACTGTGCCTGGCCAGCAGCAGTTGTCTTCTAGCCACATGCCGATGATGACACAGGTGATTGTGTAAAACAGTCACATGTTCTATTGATAATGGGGCAGCATTGTACTGTTATTATTACTGTTCATGTAAGGTCAGACTAGCCAAACAAAGGGTTTTCTTAGCCAGACATGGTGGCTAGGAAATCCCAGCTACTCGATAGACTGAGGTGGGTAGATCGTTAAGAGTCCTTGAATTTGGGCTGCAGTGAGCTATGATCAGGCCACTACATTCCAGCCTGAACTGTAGAGCGAGACCCTATCTCTAAAATAAAATAACATTTAAAAAGAAAAAGAAAAAAGAAAAGAAAGGGTAGCCTTCATCTTTGGCCCAAGTTGTGGTATTTATGGGATGCATAATGATTATTAATTCCCTTTTAAAAAGATTTTTGTGTTGCTTGCTTATAGGGTGCTCACTTCATCCAGTTATGCTGTCAGAGAAATATTCCTCTGCTGTTCCTGCAAAACATTACAGGTGAGAAAACAGCTTCATCAGTACGGCTGCATTTATTCTAGAGCTGCACTGCCCAGGGTGGCTCAGGTATGGACAGGACAGCTGTAGAATGCTTCCATCAGAGCAGGAAGTTCCCTTGGACATGCTCTTTCAAGAACCCCTTGAACTAACCGGTTAGCCCTCTTCTTCATGACTGTTTCATATTCTGAGGAGATTATCCGTGTTTTTTCTACGTGAAGGAATTTCTGAGTCGTGTGCGTCACCAGCACTCGGTGGCCTCCTTTCCTCCCGCTAGTGCCCAGCCACATGCTCAGAAAGCCCAGGAGCACCAGCCGATCACTGCTACAGAGGGTTATCTTTTTAAAGATTATCTTTAAAAATGGATAAGTACATCCTCAGTCAAAGTCTGGGGATTTGCATTTTGACCCCAAAGAATGGTAGGACCCGAGCAAGTTATGTCTTCTCTCTGGACTTCGTGTTCTAGAGATGATCTCAACATGGTGGATAAGATGATTTTAAGGTCTGTTGTAGTTCTAGAATTCTCTTTCTTAGAATTCTGTGATTCTCGGACATCCTTCTTTGTATGCTGTATAGTGCCTGACATGTCAGAGGCACTCGGATATGTTGTTGGTTAGCAGAAAACTTCCCCCAGCTCCAGTCTTTGGGGTCACATATTTGGTTATCTCAGGTTCAGAAGGCGAGTCTTTTAGTAGGTGCTGGGATCAGGCAAGCCTCCTTCACATGGGGTTGGGCCTTTGTTGATCAGCAGGGTTTTTAGGATGCCAAAGCATTGTCTCTGTGCTCCACTTAGGTTTAAGATCTTTGTTTGAATGAGGTTTTTTGTTTGTTGTTTTGAGTTGGAGTCTCACTCTGTTACCCAGGCTGGAGTGCAGGGCACGATCACCTCTCACTGCAGCCTTGAACTCCTGGTTTCAGGTGATCCTTTGGCCTTAGCCTCCGGAGTAGCTGGGAGTGCAGCTGCATGCCGCCATGCCTGGGTAATTTTTTGATATTTTGTAGAGACAAGGTCTCACTCTGTTTCCCAGGCTGGTCTTGGACTCTTGGGCTCCTGCCTTGGCCTCCCAAAGTGCTGGGATTATAGGTGTGAGCCTCCATGATTGGCCATTGGTTAGATGCATTTCGAGAGGCATTATAGCCAGATGGCAGCCCTGTGTGGCAGCCCATATGAAAAGGCAGATAGAAAGGATTTGAAGCCTAACTAGTCCAGGGACCTAGTTTGTGATCATGATTCTTGGATTCTTGACATTCTTAGCACCTCTAAACATTGTGCTTTGAATATATCTATAGTTTTGTTTTGTTTTGATTTGCTTTGACCAAGATAGGGACAGAGAGCAGAGCATGAGTTTAGTTTTACAACATTCCTTGAGGGACCTGTGAGATACCCATTTGGAGATCCATGGCAGGCAATTGAATGAATCTTGAGCACAGAAGAGGTGTTTTAGCTGGAGCTGAAACTGTAGGCATCATCATGAGAATATGGAGATGGTATTTAACGTGGTGGGAGTAGAGAAGAACGCTCGAGAGAGGGAAAGACCTGATCAGGGACAGTCTTTCATTTGGTGGAGTCTGGGTCTTACTACATTGCCCAGGCCGGTCTCGAGCTCCTGGGATTAAGTGATCCTCCCACTTCGGCATCCCAAAGTGCTGGGCTTACAGACGAGAGCCACCAAGCCTAGCTGGGGAAGTCTTTGAGCAACTCTGACTTCTTATGCTGAGATAAGAGTAAAGAACGAAAGGGAGCATAATTATGCAGCTTTTTTTTTAAGGGAGGAAAGGGAAGGATCTGAGAAAACCATGCAAGATTATCTCACTCTTTTTGAAGACAAGATCCTCTCCAGAAAATAGAGGAGTGGTGGGTTACGGGATGGAGGTGAGTGCTTGAATGGAGCTGATATTTGAGTTAGCTGTGGTTGGAATGTTATGGGGAGTCAAGATGAGGTAGATCGAGGAGTTCCTGAGCTCTTCTGTGGGCCTGGCCGGAAGGGAGAGCAGACAATGAATGCCCAGTACAGGCAAGGGCGGTGTTGTCATTCCTGTGGTGACCACTGCGAACACAGGCTCCCGGTCAGAATGGGACTTGAGTTGGATGACCAGCTACTAGAGATTTGCAAAGCAGGAACAGCGGCAGTCAGTGAGTAAGGGGGCCTGCAGGACATGGATGAGAGGAATACCTTCCCTGGAGGCCAGGCTTGGGAGGGAGACAGCTGAAGCCTGGCCTGGTGTTCACACGGTGAAGAGGAGCACAAGCCCTGGAAGGCACAGGGAAAGCACAGAGCAGTCTCGCCAGTGCTGGGGCTTTAGGAAGTGGAAGGATTCTGTAATTATCATGAAAAAAAAAATTTTTTTTAACCTTGTTGTCGAGTCACTGGCGGGCACTGTTAGCATCTCTATGAAACATTCATCTTTCTTTTATCAAAGTTTTAAGGCATCCCTTCAGAAGGAACAGTCCGTGTTTTTAAACTGGGTCAGTGAGTGCTGAGGCCCTCGCAGTGGGCCCACCATGGTCCTTCGTCCTGAGCTCGCTATGTCTCGTTCTTTGAGCATCACGCGGCTGCACTGAGACCGTTGCTTGAAGGTAGATTATATCCTTGTATTGCCTGAAGATTTCTGTGTCCATCCAGATGAACTGCTTTAAGAAAGTTGAAAAAGGGATCAGAGAACGTTTTATTTTATCTTTCCAAGCAAACTTCTTTGGGGTGTGTTTCACAGAGATTTGTCGTATGGGCGACAGGCTTGTTGAAAATTGGTCGGAAAAAAGATGTCCTTCCAGTGCCTTGGTGGAATTGACTTCTGCACATTACCTCCACCACCCTGAGGCTCTCTTTTGGGTCTTCCTCTCAGGATTTATGGTTGGGAGAGAGTATGAAGCTGAAGGAATTGCCAAGGATGGTGCCAAGATGGTGTCTGCCGTGGCCTGTGCCCAAGTGCCTAAGATCACTGTCATCATCGGGGGCTCGTATGGGGCTGGAAACTATGGGATGTGTGGCAGAGCATTTGGGTAGGTGGTTGTCACAGTTTTCTCTGAAAGAAGCATGCTTTACATGTAAAATACATGGGTTTGTTTGAAATACAGAAAGGCATTCACAAATCTCAGTCAGTTATACCATAATTTGTACCATGTGGAAGGATGAAATTAAATTTCATGCTAAAGGTAATACTTGGAAGAAATCTCTGATGGGAATCAGGAAATATTTTAAATGCCTGATAATGAAAATGCCTCACATTAAGACTTGGGCGACGTCACTACAGTCTTGCTTTGAGAAAAGTTTAAAGCCTTAAATGTGTAAGAAGTCAGACTGAAAATCAAAGAGCTGAGCAGTCAACTCTGAAGGTGAGAAGAACAGCTTATTAAACCCAGGAGAAATGAGAAGGGCATGACCAAGAGCAGACATAGGAGTGAAGATTCAGCACAGCCCCAAATTGGATTGTTTCAAAAGGTTGACAAACTTGATAATCCCCTGCCCAAACTGAACAAATAAAGAGCCAAGGCACATAAAATCAATATCAGGATGGAAAATGGGGCATGACCACAGATAATAAGAGGATACTATGAGCCCTTATATACCTGGAATCACATGGAGAACTTTAAAATTATGTCCACACTCGGGCTCCACCTCTGGAGGTTGGTCTGGGTGCGCTCTGGGCGTTTGGACATTTTTGAAGGCTTCCCAAATTATTGAAATGTAGAGCTAAAATCAAGAACCATTCATTTAAAAGGTAAACGTGGGCCTCTGGAAGTCTGTGCTGTGTGTTGAATTAATTTGTGCATTCTTTCTTTCCTTCCCCCTAGCCCGAGATTTCTCTACCTCTGGCCAAATGCTCGTGTCTCGGTGATGGGAGGAGAGCAGGCAGCCACCGTGTTGGCCATGATAGCCAAGGACCGAAAGGCACGGGAAGGTGAACAGGTGAGTACTGTTTCTTCTTATCTCTGGGTTTGGCTGTCACCAGTACACACCCTAGAGCCAAGGAGCAGAGCGCCCAGAATCCCTGTGTTGATGTCAGGGTCTGACACGTACTGCCTGCCTTATTTGGAAGTTGCTGCCCTGGAAGTTGTTTCAGCAGTTTGGCCTGCTCGCACATTTTCTGTACCTTATATTTTGGTACCTTCTTTGTGATCATTTAAACATTTTTTAGAATTTCCAAGAAAGCACTTCAGAAACTGCCTGTGAGTGCCTGAGGCATAATGATGCTTGATTCTTAGTCGTTTGTACTTAGGAAGATTTAAATAAGTCTGATGTACTTTCTTTGATTCTGTGAGCAAAAGCAGCAGAATTCTGTTTTCCCTATTTTACTTTTAGTTTGTTGTTAAGGATACCTTGAGTGGGAGGGCTCAGCCATCTATTGAGAATTGAATAACATTATACGGTGAAAGAGTACATCAGAAAACGGTGAAAGAGTACCTCAGAAAACGGAAAGGGCACTTAAAACTTGATGAAAGGCAAATCAGCAAGTGGCTGCTTTGAAAATGAATTCTTTTGTTTATGTCCCTGCTGGAGAGTCTTTTGAAATTTCATGTTCATTTTTATTAGTTACTTTAACTATTTGGTGTAAGCACCAAGCCTTACAATGATGGATGTGTGTTCTGAAGTTGCTTGGGTGTGCTGTTGTCTCACCATGGGAAGCTGTGAAAGGGAGGCCCTGCTTGCTCCGTTCAGGGATCATCTAGTACCACCTGGTTTGTGGAGTGGGATGCTGTAACGCCAGAGGGTGGTCCTGCCTCCCTGAATGGATCCACCCATGCCTTGCATCCCGGGCTGTCTTTTCCGAGCCGTGGGAATCTTGCAGACTTACACTGAGGTTTCAGAATCACTGTAGTGTCTACTGGTATCAAAGGAAAAGGATAGCTTTCCTTTGTGTGTGACTGGGCTGGGGGTGGGAGAAGTAGGATATGAAATTCTACCTGAGATTTTGAAGACGCGTCTTAAACTCTGTGTAGCCCAGCATGGTAACCTCTTATTAAATTGTTGTTTTTTGATGACTTTGATATACAGATACTTGAATTCATTCGTTTTTATACATGAAAGTACAGTGTGTTAGTAGTTCACATTCAAAATTCTTGATCTATAAAATGAATTCAAAATATTCAAATGTTTACATAAAAGAAGTAGGATTTATTTGAAATAAGTCATTGTTTCTGGTGTGGAATTTTTTTTAAGCTGAAAATATTTTTCAGGGCTTCAAAATAAGTTCTGAAAATCTTTACATCTGAATTAATTATCACTTGATCCTTGTAATACTGATGGGGAAGCCATTACATTTTTATTTAAGAAGAAATATCTCAGTTGTTTGGGAAATTTACTGAAGAGGTTACTCACAGTGTGGTTGATAGTTTATCTCTTTAAGCTTTAAAATTTTGGCTATTTTGAATGCAAAATCTCATACTTTTTCACCTTAACTAGGGGCTTCTCAGTGTAATATAGCTCTTGTGTTGTATTATATAATTCACACCCATTTTTGTACCTGCTATGATACACAGTATCCTTGGCTTTGACCTCACATGAAATAGCCTCAGAATGTAGTCTCTGCTAAGAAAGGTGTGATTGGCGCACTGATTTGATATTCATGTCTCAGGTGAGATCATATGTGTTAGTGATCACTTGTAATCTACATCACCTTGCAAATGTTAGTTGGAACATTATTTCTTATGCAATGTGTTGTCTCTTTTTTCTTTAGATTATCTAAATAATCCACTGAAGCTGACTTATGGTCCCTTTTCTTTTAGTTCTCCAGTGCTGAGGAAGCAGCTTTAAAAGAGCCCATCATTAAGAGGTTTGAAGAAGAAGGGAACCCTTACTATTCCAGTGCAAGGTGGGAGCCAGAAAATAATTAACTCCCTGATGGGTGCATCTTGGCAGTCAGGGAGGGCACAGCTTTCCAGAGGTCTGAGCAGTCGGGATGGTCCAGCCTTCAGAACCAAAGGATAATGTTTGGACACAATTTTGTACTCTTGTTTCCTTCGAATGGGAATGCCTACTGCCAGAATGCTGCCCCTCCTCCCAGGTGTCCCTGCACTGTAGATTCACCACCGTTGGGTCTGTCCACCCCTGGTGAGGTGTCGGGACTGCAGGGACCCTGTTAGCCAAAGGTGAGCCATGCTAGGAGCTGGGAATAAAAGTTACAATCTCAGCTGTGTTACTTCAGCAGTCAGTTCCAATTTTTGCTTAAAAGCATGGATTCTTGTCACATTGTCTCTTTGATTATTTTGTTTTTACCCTATTGTAAGCATGAGGTTGTTGAACACTTATTGGCATTTGTTGACAAGTGTGCTCACACATTCAGGAGGTGATTAGTCACAGCCAAAGTCCACATGTCAGCACCAGATAATTACCTCACACACGCTTGCAGCTGTTGGCTGTGTTTGTTTCTTATACCACTTAATGAGGTAATAAATTATCATGCCTGTCTCAGCTGGAGATCTGTTGGCGTGTGCTTTCAGATCTTTTTTCAACAACTTTAGCGTTCTGCATTCCAAAAACTAATCTAAGCTTCATGTCATCCTGTCATCTCTTGGGCAGATGGAAAAAAGAAATTAACTGTTTGTGTCTTCTAAAATTAGGTTATGCTGTGATTTATTTCATTTACTGGTGAAGGCGAACTGGAGAGGAGGGAGAAAAGAAAATCAGAAATTAGAATCCCTTTCTGTTATTTGAACACATCCTTAGTGGCAAGCACTGCTCATAGCACTGGGGGTGCAAAGACTCAACATGCTGGTTTTCAAGAACATAATTAGTGTGAGAGGTCAAATAATACCATTTGGATTTTTTTTTTTTTTTTTAAAGAGACTGGTTCTCTCTATGTTGCCCAGGCTGGTCTCAAACTGTGGGATCAAGCAATCCTCCTATCTTGGCCTTCCAAGGGTGCTGGGATTATAGGCGTGAACTACCGTGCCCCAGCCCTATTTGGGATTTTTTAAAAGCCTGTTTCTCTTTTGCTAGCTGTATATTTTTACAAACAGATTTACAGGTATGTTTTGTTGTGGTAGTTCAATTCATTTAATTAAGAACAAAATATAATCTTTGATTTTTAGAGGCAAGTAGATTCCTTATTTTTACCACTGTGCAAACAGACTTATATAGTAGCCAGTGGCTGCAAGAAGCGATAGAAAACCATATAAGAGGTTTAATATAAAATATAACAAGTACATATGGTAAGCTTTTCTATATATTTTTTTCACATAGTATTTTGACTGAAATGCACAGGGACAGTTGAAATATTAAACTTTGAAAAATAGAATATTTTGTGTAAGCTGTTAACTTGTTTTTCATCCATGGCTAAGCTAAGTCATTTTTTGTGGAAGATTACACCTGTATTGTTTTCATACTTACATTATTACTATTTTTAATGTATCCAAGGCAGGAGAGCAAATGGCCCAGATAGACTTATCTTTGGATATAAATGTTACAAGACAATAAGATTTTCTGTGCATTTATAGATATTTAACCCTTCTGTTGAAGTAGTTGGTGGCATAGAGACAACTATTTTCTTTCAAAGATGAAAGGATTTCCAAGCTGTCTGATGGTGCCTTCCTTTAGGAAATCTCAGTTTAAAGAGGAAATCCTCTGGCCTGCTTAGGCTTGAACATGTTCCAGCTGACACTTCAGAGAGCTGCATCATCATCTGCTCCTGGAAATGCTAACGTTTTCTTCATCGTTACACATGCAGTGTGCCAATTTACTTCTGCTCAATTGTTTTTATAATCAAATTTTTGTCAGGCATTTGATTAGAACCTCTTACCTGGGCTGTGCTTTTAGCCAGCCCCTTCATCACCATACCTTCTGGATGCCTCTGCTGCAGGCTTCAGAAGGGAGTGTAATCAGTTCACCTGGTTACAGATGACAAGAGCGGCTTTCTTTTTATTGGCTGTTGATATTTTAGGGTCCCTATTAATGTTTTATGAGCAAAGATTTGGTTCATGTCTGTCAGTGTAAGAATGGTTTAATAATTGATGCTATGTTCAGATACTGAAGATAGTTTGTTTAAAGAAAGCAAACTGCCATTTACTAATAACCTTTAAAAAGTAGTATTTCTCATTCATTTTTCTTTATAAATTTGAGGTTGTCAATGAAAGCAAACTAGCATTTCTACTTAAAAGTTTCTTCTGCAAGCAGAAAATTTACTTGCTCTTTCAATTATAGCAAAAAATAAAGATCTACATTTGAAGGTATCTGTTTTATTGATAACATGTACTGAAGCCTATTTGGTAATTTTCAGTTTCTTACAAGCTTAGGGGAATTTGGGGAATTCACCTTTTCCAGCAAGACTCTGGTTTAAGGTTCTTATTAAGTTATTACTACCTGTTTTTACGTGGCTCTCTATGTTAATGACAGGAATATACTAACTTGGTTTGTAAGTTTGTGTAGGCAGAAAAGGATCGGGAAAGTTCTTCCTGACATAAGTAAAAATATTTTCAAACCAGGGATCATCTTGAGATTTCTTTTAGGCACAGTTTCTTAAGCTTGAGATGACATCCTCTGGTGACCTGGGATAAAAGTCATATCACCACCCCTCCCCACCCCCTTTTCTCTCCTGTCTTGAACATGGCTTCTGTTGTGAGATTATAGTGCACAGGTGAAGTAGGTGCCTATTTTACCTGAAGGGAAACCTCCTTGGTATTTCTGGACATGGAGTATATAAACGGTGCCTTGGTGATACATTCATAACTCTTCTCTCATTCTTTTGCCAGGCTGTGGGATGATGGGATTATTGATCCAGCGGACACCAGACTGGTCCTGGGTCTCAGTATTAGTGCAGCCCTCAACGCACCCATACAGAAGACTGACTTTGGCATCTTGAGGATGTAACTGGAATAGAAAACATTTTTCTGTTGAACATGTACCAAAAACTGACACATGTAGTAGCTTTAACAATTTAGACTGTTTGAACATGGCTATTACAGTAATTTTTTTTAAACACAGTGCATTGTACTTTTCTACCTTAAAAAAAAATCAGTGAGGATATTTATTCAGTGAATATCAATGCCTTTTAAATTTTTTTTAGAGAGAATTCTCTGTGACTCAGTTTTACCACCCATAAAATGAAGATAATGATTTACATGTATCCTTTCTAACCATCAAACAGTATGAAAAATTCTGTAATCTGTAAATTTCAGATGTGATTGAGATTATTTCTATGAAGTTGTATTTCCACTATAATGATTGTTTTGGTGATTATGCTTGATGATATTTTAACACATTTTTTAAAAGTATTGCTTTTCTCTTTAGCCACCATCCTATCTCCTTCCCACCATAATTAGACTCTCATTGTCTGCACTTTGGGATCTATTTTGTAACCCACTCTCTCCTCACCCCAACCCTTTCCTTCACCAACTACCCCCTCCAAGGTTTGTTGATCTTCATGTTGCTGAAACCAATGGGTTCTTTTCCAGCCTTATCTGATTTAACTCTGTAGCCTTCTAATCGGTTGGAGCTTTTTCTCCTTGGAAATGCTGCCCTTACCTTCCAGGACTTAACATTCTAGGTTTTCTGCCAACCTCTTAGACCATCCTTTTTTGGTTGTCTTTGTAGACTCCTCTTCCGCTACTGATCCTGCCCCACTTTTATTATTTGTCTTGATTTTCATTACTAGTACATGAATACATTCTTATTTCAGAAGATGCAAATAGTACCAAAGTATCTCTTTATTATTTTTTAAAATTGTGGTAAGATACATATAACGTAAAATGCATCATTTTAGTCTTAAGTGGTCAGTTCAGTGGCATGGAGTGCCCTCACACTGGTGCAACCATCAGCACTGTCCATCTCCAGAACTTGTTCTTCATCTGAAACAGAAACTCTTTGTCCATTAACCAATAATGCCCACAGTCGCCTGCCCCCGTCCCTGACATCTCTCCGTATTCTTAAAGGTTTTCTCATGGCTTGATTTATTCTTGCGGGGCCATTTTAGCTCCTCTCAGCTTCAGCTGCCATCTAAATGCAGATGATGGCTGCACTGACTTTTTTTTTTTTTTTGAGTCAGCCTCATTCTGTTACTCAGGCTGGAGTGCAGTGGCATGCTCACAGTCACTGCAGCCTCACCCTGCTGGGCTCAGGTAATCTTTCCGCCTCAGCCTTCCAAGTAGCTGAAACCACAGTCATGCGCCACCATACCTGGCTGATTTTTTGATTTATTATAGAGGCGAGGTCTCACTATGTTGCTCAGGCAGGCTTCAAACCCCTGAGCTCAGGCAGTCCTCTTGTCTCAGCCTCCCAAAGTGCTGGGATTACAGGTGTGAGTCACTGCACCCAGTGCATTGGCAGTTCTTAACACAGTTCTTGCCTGAACTCCAGATCTGCATGTGTAGCAGGTCTACTGGACATCCGCACTGGTTGTCTCAGAGGAACCTCAAACTTGGTCATTAATTCCTCTTGATTTTACTTCCTGTCTCCTGAGTGTCCCCACTTATTTTTATCTTTCACTACCATAGGCCTTGAAGTCATCTACTTGCATCGGTCTTACCTATTCCTGTCTGTCCATCCCTCTGTGGCTAGAATGGCCACCCTGAAGTGCCCATCGGCCAGGTTACTCTGTTACTAAAACTCCTTCAGTGGTTTCTTGTAAAGAAGTGTCAGCCACCGAATGCCTGCCAGAATCTTGATCTTCACCTCTTTAACCTCATCTCCTTGACTCTTCTTTTCACAGGAGCCGAGTTCCAGCCATCCTTGACCTCTTCCAGTCCTTGCTTCCCGCGTTAGGTTCCTCCGACTTTATTGTTCTGCTCTCCCTTCTTCTTCAACGCGTACTCTTCAGCTTATGTACTTGCTTCTCAGTTTAAACTCCACTTCCTTGGGGGTGTCTCTGTGACCCCCCGGAGGGGGTTAGCTTCCCTATTATCTGCTCTGGTGCAGTGCCATCTACTTCCTCTGTCAGACATGCATCATTTTGCTGTAATGTTTCCTTGACGTTGCCCTCCTGCTAGAGTGTAAGTTCCACAGGAGCAGGAATTGTCCTGTTTACCGCTTGGCACTCGCAGGTGCTCGCATATTTGTTGAATGAATTTTTGAAATCCATATTGTGATGAATGTCCTCAGGCCACATAATTTTAAAATTAGGTGACTGATTATATGACCTAATAGAACTGTCAAATGTTTTCCTAATAAAATTAATATTTCAAACATTGTTGCATGACGCTCAATTTAGGCTGCATTTGTGTATCAAAAAGTCAGTTTAGTTTTTTAGGGGTGGTGTATGGATATGTGATCACAATTCAGAAGTAGGTTGTATTTTCAGAAGGAACACAGTATTTTAAAATAGTAAATTAAAAATTTCAGTTAAAATTTGAATCTGTCAGAAAACAAAATGATTTCCTTAATGACGACTAAGTGATATTTCTTTGGTCAGAACCATTAACAAGCCAAAGATTCATGAATATTTTGGAAGTACGTTTGCCTTTCTCTGTTAAGAAGATCCTGGTCATCAATATAAACACATTTAAACAGATTACTGTTATTTTTTTCCAAGAGACAAGGTCTTGCTTGTCCAGGCTGGACTCAGACTCCTGGGCTCAAGGGTTCCTCCTGCCTCAACTTCCCAAGTAGCTGGGACTACAGGTGCATGCCCAGGTCTATCTTGTGCCTATTATCCAATAATAAACATATTTCTAATTGTTTTACCAAAATAGGCAGGTTTAAAAAACATTTTGATGATTATTAATACAAATTTCAGCCAGGATAATATGAGCTAGTTATTATATGAAGAATTATATAGACTATAGTTAGTCTCTAAATTTGGCCCCTCGGTAGTTAAAGAATGAGAAAGAGGCTGGGTGCCGTGGCTCACGCCTGTAATACCAACACTTTGGGAGGCAGAGGCGAGAGGATTGCCTGAGCCCAGGGGTTTGGCAAGATCTCATCTCTACAATAAATCAAAAAATTAGTTGAGTGTGGTGGTGCACGTCTGTGGTTCCAGCTACTTGGATGGCTGAGGTAGAAGGATTGCCTGAACCCAGCAGGTTGAGGCTGCAGTAGCCATGAGCATATCACTGCACTCAGCCTGAGACTACAACTCAAAAAAATGAGACAAGATTACTTCTATTTTTCAGTTTTCAAGAAATGTGTTTTTCAAATTAGAAATTGTCTAAATGAGAAAACACTTTTTGCTGGGCTCGGTGGCTCAGCTTGTAATCCCAGCGCTTTGGGAGGCCAAGGTGAGTGGATTTCCCGAGTCTGCGGGTTCGAGACCTGCCCGGGCAACTTGGCGAGACCTCACCCGTACAATAAATCAAAAATTAGCCGGGCGTGGTAGCGCGCGCCTGTAGTTCCAGCTCCTTGGAAGGCTGAGGTGGAAGGATCACCAGAGCCCAGCAGGTCAAGGCTGCGGTGGCCAGGAGCGTGCCACTGCACTCCAGTCTGGGAGACGGAGTGAGACTCCAACACACACACACACACACACACACACAAGAAAACACTTCTACACGAGCAGAAGGCACTGTGGAATATTCAAGAGACAGGTGATCATCTGGTACATGCTTGTTTTGTACTGTATGCTACCTTCACAGAGGTAAGTCTCAGCAGGTTTGGGATGACTTCAATAATAAGACTTTTGGGAGGCCACAAAATGCATTGATGTTGCTTTCTGAAAGGGTACTTGCTGCTGTCTGGTCAAAACCAATTCTTAGTGATCTGTTAATGACTGGTTCAAAAATTCCCATATTTAGAAAATAGCAAGAAGATGAACTAGATAACCATTGCCTAGTGTCATTTATAACATTTCTAAAAACATTGCAAATTAAGTACAACTAATATTTAATGTGACATAGGTTTTTATTGTTTTAACAAAAAGCCTTTCCACAAAACAATTATGTTTGTTTTTATTGAGTCCACCCCAAATTCTCTAATACCTGAGTAAGGATCCTAAGGATAAAGTTCTTCAAACAAAGTGAAGCCTTCCAGACAAAGAGGCTGTAATCAAGGGACTGTATACTTTTTCCACATTTGGATGCTTTGAGAGTGTCGCAGTTTGGCTGCATGTCAGCTTTTGATCATTCTTCCAAACTGTTACTGCTTCATAAGTTTTAACGGATTTCGGTATGGCGGCAGTCACACAGTATGGTGGCAATCACACAATATGTAGGCATTAGCATTCTAGGGAGTGATTTGATTGACCCAAGAGGAGAGTTTACCATAGGGCAGGGATGGTTGTATTTCCTGGATACCCAACTGTTAGTTTCCTTAGATCAGCAGTTCAGTATGTCTGTCAGCTTTTTCTTTCACAAAGGTGACCCAGGATCACAGGTGGTTTTTTTTTTTCCCCACCACTTTTTATGTTGAGAGAGGCGTCTTTGAGGGCAAATACGGTCTTCAAAGATCTTTGAGGGGAGGAGACATGGTCTTCAAAGGTGGCAAGTTCATAGAGAAGTTACTAAAGAGAAAATATGCCCAGAACTGCTTGTTAGAAGTAAGCTGGAGGAAAAAAAACTTTAAGTGTAATTCAGTAAGTGTTAATTGTTAGAAGTGAACTCAAGAAAAAGAGATAGAATTTTGGATTACTCAGACTAATATTAAGAGGTTTCTGAAGGAAATGTATTGAGTCTTCTTTTTTTTAAGTCAGGGTCTCATTTTGATGCCCGCCTGGACCCCCTGGGCTCAGGCGATTCTTTTGTCCCAGTCTCCCTGTGTAACTGGAACTACAAGCCCATGCCACCATGCCTGGCTAATTTTTTGAGGTTTTTTTTTTTTTTTTTTTTTTTTTGTAAAGATGAGGTCTTGCTGTGTTGCCTAGCCTGGTCTCGAACTCCTGGGCTCAAGCAATCCTTCTGCCTCAGCCTCCCAAGGTGCTGGGATTACAGGTGTGAACCATCACACATGGCCAATATTCAGCATTATTAATGGTACTATTAATCACATTCCTATATCTATGGGATAATTAGAAATAACTTTTGTTTTAAAATTATTTGTAATTTAAAATCTGTTATTTGTTGAAAATTTAAAAAGACAAAGTGAAGAAAATAAAGTGAAAAAATTCTTTATAATTCCACCACCCAGAGATAACTGCTACTATTAATATTTTCTATTAATATTTTCTACCTTTTTTCCTATCTGTAGGAATTTTTTTTTTTACAAAAATGCTAACTACATGTTATTCTACAGTCTGCATTTTCACTTAGTTTGTTGTGATTATACTGACTTGTTTACATGTAATCTACTATTTCTT